CCCGTTTTACCGCCTAGCCTGTCTTCAACTCTTATTGCCTCTCAGGCTACACGTTTAAACCTCGCGCTTACATAGGATCACAAAGTTAAAACTTTGTGGTTTGTTTTCTTGTTATGGTTCTACTATGTTTCAGTCCAAAGCAGACCATTTCCGGACAGCCTGATAAAGCCATAGCTTGATAACCCGAAGAGAGGACGATCGGTCATGCGAACTAGAATTACAAACAAAGTGGAAGCAGATAAAAGCCCTTCATGCGCGATGCCTTCATGCGGGGGAAAAGGGAGGGCAGGTGGTGAGGAGAAGGACTTTCTCTTTACCGGACTGCAACGGGCGGTATAAGTGCACCATGCACACCCAGAAAACTGTGTGCTTGAAATTTCAAAATTTTCAGGGTTTTCAGGTAAATTTTAAATGAACAAAACCGATTACAGTTATATTTGGATTGGGAGGGGCGTTGCACCCTTTACACTGTTAACATCTTATTGCGAATTTCATTGGATGATACGGTGAATGGTAAATATTGACCGCAAGATGAGGTGAATGTCACTGTAAACTATGGTCAGGGTACATCACCGGTCACCGTAAGTTACGGTATTCACTGCGGCTTATCCGGTCGAGGGGGATATGACTTGGGTACTAATAACTCGTCCACTTTTAGGTTGTGCTAATGGGGTACTAACTTGTACTAACGGCGTATTCATGCCAAAACAGGTGCTTAAATATGCCAACATTTCATTTGCCCTGACAACAAATTGTAATAATAAATCAATAGCAGGCAATGCGCGTGTTGGCGCTCGCGCTCTGCTCTATGGCGCCCGCCTCGTCTTCGTCTCCCCCATGAGCAAGTCGGTGAGGCTGGACTGCCGCGCCACCTCTGCCTGCCTCTGACTTAACGTTACAGAATCGAAGTTTCTCTCTCGACCCGTCTTGCGCAACGGCAACGGGGATGATGCTGTGGAGCCGGTCACAGGAGAGAGAGGGAGAGGACGGGGGGGAGGGGGAGTGTGCGGGGGAAGGGACCTCCACGCGAGCGTCCACGGGACCGACCGGGACCGCCCTTCGGTTCGTGTTCGGGGCACGTTCGGCGTTCGGCTCACCTCGGTGTAAGATTTGAAAGTTGAACGCCTCGAGGAGGTCCCTCCGCCGGCTGCTGCCCTATCCTACGGCCGACCGGAAGCGTTGCGCTGTACTGTCTGTCGTGGCGGAGGGCTGGCGGTGTTCGGTGTTCTGCGGGCGGTGTCTGCCGGCACACTGGCGACGGCCGTACCGTGCTGCGGTGAGCGCCGCCGCGCAGAGTCGGCGCGGCGCGGGGGCTGCGAGCGAGCTGCTGCAGCCCAGCCGCGGACCGCGGGGGCAGCCTCAACGGTGGTGCATGAATGAATTACGGGCGTGTGTTGTCATTGTGTTGGGGTTATGGAACTCCTCAGGAATCGTCATGAGTCACACGCCGACTTAAGAGACGCCATTCAAACCCCTCAAACTAGTTAACATATTGACCCGGTTCCTGTTTTTGCATCGTGCACGCGCGCAGTCCCGAACAGCTCCTAGATCAGGTGTGGGAGGAAGAGTATGGTGCTCGCTCAGGTTCCGTCGTCGCCGTTGTTCGAGGCAGCGCGGTCTAGAGAGGAGTTGCGCAGGTACGCACACACGTCGTGCGCGTTGGTCGCAAGATGCCAAAACGGCAGTCTTATGTGAAACGGAGCCCCACCCTCATTGGCCCTCGTCCCCATTACTCGGCCTATTCCGGCGTGCCCGCTTGTGCCGCGCGGCGGACCATTGTTGGATCTCGTTCCCGGCAACGAAACCCTTCCTGGCCCGGCATCCGGCAGAGGGACGAGCAGGCCTCCCACAAGTAGTAGTGACCCCGCGGTGGTGCTTCTGGGCCCCGCTGCAGCCGAGTCGCCCAGGCTGCCCTCGCGGGACGGAGCCGAGCTCGCACACCGACCCGCGTCGGCGAGGTGAGCGCGAGCCGGCCGCCGCCGCCGCCGTCATACGTGTGTCGGTGTCGACCCGCACTGCGCGGGTCAGCTTCGCGTCGGCGGGGCGGTGATTCGCGCGGCTAACCGCAGGCCACGCTGTCATCAACAAGCCGGTGGGGTGGGGGGCTACTCCATCATTTGCCAGTCGTTCTGGTTGGGCCCGTCAGGACGACGCGAAGCCGCGTTCTCCCGCGTCCGATGAACATTTTGCGACTTCCTTGTAAGCAACAAAAAATAAAAAGAAAAAAAAAAGTCTGTCACGGACCGGCGATTCCAGGAGCCGATAGTTTAGTCAGTGTCGGACCTGCTAACCCATATCCACAAGCACGTCGCGACGCCCGCGTGGTGTACTATCTCATCATTAGCCCAAAGCTGGCCCTGCGCCCCGCCCCGCCCCGAGCCTAATCTTATCGACCGGGACTTTTTCGGTATGGACAAACATGTGTTCGAGGAGGGCGAGGCCGTCCACCCGGGGAAACTTTTCATGCGTATACGTGTA